AAAAGTTTTGTCGGTTTTAAATTTTCAAAATATAACTTGAAAAATGAGACACTTAGTATAATCTTCTGCATATAATTTTGATAGCGGAAGATAGTGCAACTTATGTTCTTTGTGTATTCCGAAAAGCAAGTGAAAGCTCCCAGAATAAAGAAAGGTATAAGGAATTTTCCAAACACTTGCATCTGTCAAATTTTTTGTAAAATGACGATTATCTCGAAAACGGTTAGGTTTAGGTACAGGGAAGCTTTAACATTTTCGACATATTTTTTATTTATCTTGTCGATAATGCAATAATATATAGGGTGTTCCATTTAAAATAACAATGTTGAGAGCTACTTCCGGTATAACGGGAAGTGCTACGTTGATGGTATTATTTTCATTGAAGAGAACATATCTGACAATCCCCGTAAACAAAACTTCAGTCATATTGTCTTTGGTTCCTCTGAAACGTCTAATAGGACACTTATCGTGAAGAACCCTGTATATGTATATAGAAAATTAAATGAAGGTTAATCTAATATGGTGTCGTCAAACAGTAGTATTTATAACTGCAAAGCGTGTATAACTAATAACAAATAACGTATGAGTTTATTTGTATTTTTAGTATTCCTAAACAGAACTTTACTCATAAAACGTTTGTATTTAATATATTTTATTACTACTATATCTAAAATCTACTATGGAAAAATATGGTATTTCCAGAACATACACACGTTTCGGCAGTGAAAATGTTAAATCATTAAGCGCATTCTTTCTAAATGAATAATCTCATAAATATCTCCCTACGCAATGCTTCAAAATTTAACGTCGGATTGCGATTCAAATAACTATTTTTAGTGAAAAATTTACGGGCTTATAAGAACAGAAAAGCAAATAAGTATCTGATGTCTATTTGGAATCACGTTTGATCCAAAATCTATCTACAGTTCTGATTCTCATATCTTTGAATGGATTGAGTAGGTACTGTATGTATACATCTTTTTTTTGCGGGTAATAGTTGTCTGTATCTCTAAGCAAGAAGTAACTTTCGTTGATACAGCGCTCAGTGTATGAGTGGTCGTGTGTTTGTGGCATAAAACTTTGACTTCAAAAAAAAAAGCCAAAGAAAGAAGCCTATCCGCATTAAATCGCATGATTCGGGCGGCCAATTCTGATTACCAAAACGAGAAATTACACGACCAGGAAATTACTCATGCGGTAATTAAATTGTTTTTCGGGCTGTATAGCATGTGGCACTGTCTTGTTGAAACCACATGTCGAAAGACGGCCAAAGCGTTTAAGATCACAAATTGATCCAGTTTTCCTGAATTTTTCAATTAATCTCTTCATAATTATTGATGAAGTTAAATTACTATTCCGACTATATTTTGTACAAAAATTGTGAATTGAAGTTGCCAAACCTTCACAATTTTTAAAACAATGAAACTTTGTTGTTTTTTCGTGTATCGCTCCATTTTTAATAACCCTGAATGTCAGCTGTCTTCTTTTGGCAACACTTAAGATAGCTTAAATAAACCGTCCACAGCAACTGTGATTATTTCTCACAACCACTTATTTGCAAAAATAATCAAATTGAAAGAATCAAGTTCGCTGCGAAACGGCAACAAATTTTAAGAAACATTGTCAATTTCTAATTGAATGCTTTACCCAAAAATGATTCCCTTTTTATTATATTCATGGCCTTACTACTTTATTTTTTATCTAATTAGCTGTAGGTAGGTAGGCACTTATTACCTTTATTCTTCAACTGTGCTTAATTTATAAACTTAATATTATTCTCTCATATAACCCTTTGTTCATGTATCTTCTGTACTAAATTTAATTTGGATATTAAAAATTCGGAATATAAAAAATAAAGACGCTTTTTTTAGAGAACTTTAACGTCCTCTATCTCAAGATCGAAGAACATCAGCACCTACGTTTATATGAACTTTTTACATTAAAATAATATTCCCCTTAGTAATCTATAGGATACCAAAATCGTGATAATTAAAAGCGAGATACTGGGTGTTCTGGATATAGTACTATAAATTTAGGAGTTGATAGAATATCAAAAAATAAGATATTTTTTCCTACGTCCTATTGTTTTTTACTTTTGAGATATAAAGAGTCAAAGACGATTTTTTTAAATCAAATTTTAGCCACTTCTATTCCAGAAAATAATGCAATGTACTGAAATTTGCTACAGCTAAGTTCTTGAAGGGGCTGCATGCGTCAGTGTCAAATTTTGACCATCTATTGAAGGGCCTTACCTACCTGACTTTTCCCATTGACATTTTATAACTTTTTAGAGGTTAGTTTTCTTTACAGAGTATGAAACATATCAGCTTCTATTCCTTAATAAACAGCATATATGGAAATGAATGGGAATAATTCAAGTGTAAATTCCTGCGATGGAAATAAATCGATTTTGATTTTGAATTACCATTAAAATTTTACTTTGTTAAAATATTATCGGCCAAAACATATGTTTTACTCAATTTAAGTAACCACAAATTTAGAGATTGCAAGCTCCATATACCTACATAGCAGACAAGTAATTGATGCAAAGAAGCAAAAGTTATTCAATATATCCTGAACTTAAATTTCTAAGACACTACAGACAGTAAGGTCCACTCTACTAATCTATCTCTTGGACATAGAAAAATCAATTCTATAACCCTGTAGCTTTTGATGGATAACAGAAACTCTCTACTTCACAAAGCTTAAAAATCGCTTCAACTATTCAATATTTTATCTGCAACCATATATACTTGAAATCTCTGAAGGGAATTGAAAAAATAAACCCATAGTCGATTTTAGTCTTCCTTTTTGTTGTTTCTTTTTTATCCTTGAATGATCCTTGTAGAGGTACGTAAATAATTTTTTTTATTTCCTTTCATATGCGGGTCACTTTTTAACAAAATACAACATAATACAACATTACTGGAAAATAATAACAACTGATTAGGGTTACCCTCCCCAACTCCAGATCGCTGTTTACATTTTAGGGGTCATTTTTGGCAATTTGTCAAAAACTGAGTCACAGAGTTTCTCATAGCAGATTTACTTTCTGGGTGACCAACTAACAGCATGGCATGGGTTTCATCTTTGAAACAGACCACTTTTTTTGTGTGGCTGTATTATCAAAAATATCTGACATAAATTTTTGTATTTCCAAGTGAATAATTGACAACCATAAATCCCTCAGTAGCCTGGTGAAAATAGACATTCAAGGTTACAATAATTCGTATAAAGCTGAAAATTGGTAAATGAATTGTGAAAAGTCCCCATCGATCCCACATTTGCAAAAAAATGTATTCAAGGTCAAAGTTTGCTAACATGTTTTTTTTTTGCATTTTTCAACCAAACGGTAAGTTTTATCATAAAAATAGGTCATACAGAAATTGTAGATCATCTCATCGTCTCATCTATAAAAATTATTCTTACACTTTTTTCCTAAGAACCACCATTTCTGAGATATAGATAATTTTCAGGAGGGGTAAAACAACAGTTTTTAAATTGTTTGAAAAACAAGATTTAGTTAATTGTGCTAAAGTTTTTAAAGAGAGTAACTGTACTCCACAAACTGCAATCACCAACGGACTTTGCTTTCTTCTTTCTGTATATGGAGCTCCAAAAAAAATTACCTCTTTAGATAAATTTCGACACTTATCTTTTGTCTTCCTCAACCTGTGCTTCTGCTCATCAACATCTATTTCGGGTATATTATCAAGTTCAAGTGTGGCTTGGTAATCAACTGGACCCAGACCCAGACAGCACCATATATTCTGAGAATATTCTCTAAACCTTCTAAAAAGATTATATATATTCTGAATAAACCTAGAATATTCATAGAATGTTAATATGCTTATAAAATATTCGTAGAAGATCCCTTTTTAAATATACATATGATATTCTCCATAGATATGCTAATAATAATATCTCAGGAATATTCTTCAACTAATATTCCTAATACATTCTCAATAGGATNAAAGTTGAATTGTTTTGTTCATTAGCATGTACCAGTTGTCAAGGCCAGTCCTGCTCCAATGTTGAATTGCCATCAGAAAAGGATTCTTGCGATATCAGCGAGGAGACATCTGATACATCGCTGTTAGAACAATTTACTAGTATCCAGCAGGAAGAAGAAGAAGGAGGAGGAAGAGAAGAGGAAGAAGAAGGAAGAGAAGAGGAAGATGAAGAAAAAGAAGATATTACACTTGAAATTCCATTAGATAATTATCAATCAGATGAATAGTTTTCAGCAATTATTCATAATTCACACCGCTTTCATCATTTCCAATAGTACCATTTTTTATTTAAGACAATATTATTTAATTAAACAGGATAACAATAGATCGTGGAATAGGCCTATTGGGGAAACCATGTTAAGAAAAACGCGCCAAGTACACTACCTCACAGGTGGCGTGGAAATTTGTGCATATTATGGAGAACACAACTTTTTTAAATTTTTAAATCGCTAGGTATGTCTCGGAAATGGTGATTCATAAAAAATATATACAAGAACAATTTTTATAGATAATTGCATGATTTAAAGTTTTGTCGGACCTATTTAAATGATAAAACTTACCGTTTGGCTGAAAAATGCAAGAAACCAATATTTGCGAACTTTACCTTAAATAAATTTTTTTGCAGATGTGGGATCGATAGGGACTTTTCATATTTCATTTATAATGGTGTTCCCAACATTACTACCAATTTTCAGCTTTGTGCGAATTCTTGTAAGCCCTCAGGCATAATAAATTAAAATAAATACAATGTTGAAATTTAAATGTATATTTCGTTAACTGTTACTGAACTGCATGTATACCTAATTTAAATAAAACAAAATTAAATTTTAAATCTTATTGCGCCTTTTAAATTTTTATAAAATATTAAAAATTTCATTTCTCTTATTTTTTTTTATTGTATATAATTATCTGTTATTTCATCAGTTGGTTGTAACTCCGTATTAGACTGCTCTAGGTCGTGTCACTGAACAACACATTTTACTTTAATCACTTTTATTACACACTGTAAACTACAATATAATTACAGAATCTCTATATTTACTCTTAAAATACCTTGTTATAGCTGTATAAATAATAACCATCACAGATTATAACAAGCTATGAACATAATTTAACAATACAGGTAGCAGCAAAACTTGCTACATACAGGTCATACGTATACCAATAAAATTTAATATATCCATTCACTATGAAACATTTTACATTTTCAAAATTTGCTTCCTTTTAAAAATCATAACGAGTAATACAATACTGTCTTTTATAAATTACTTAAACTCTATAACAAAAGAAGTTAGTAGATAACACACCAGATAAACAATAAAGATTACCCTACATTTATGCGTTGTTTATTTCGGTTATGAAAATATTATCTTTTTAATATTGTTAAATTTTATATTCTTTCCTTGACTACTCTCTATGATATAAATGGAAGCGCAAAGCTTACATAAAATAATTTGGGTCTTTATTGTAGGTAACATTAGAAAATTATAAAAGCTAGGTTATGATTATTCTTAAGCTCATTAGGATTGTACAAATCTTGTTTTTTTTTACTTTTTGGCTGCGAGATATGCATGTAGACTGCTTTACAAATTTTAAATTCATGCAGTAAAAGGCCTTTCCTCCTTGTTTACAAGCAGAAAATTATTTTTGGTTACCAAGAATATGTAAAAGTTCAATACGTATTCAATCATTTTAATGAATGGTGGATTAGGATTTTGGTTATTGTCTGTCCTTAGATCGAGTTTATGCAGTTATTATTTGCAAAATTACACAATAATTACAAAACTTCACTATTAAATTCTTATCAATGAAAATATAAATTGACTTAAGAAATTATGATTTGCTGACACAAAGGAGATATTTAAAATATGCTTTAAAATTAGCTATAAACAGTTAAATATATTTATCTTTCATATTTTAATAATTTATAATTTTTAATATATCGTGGTTCATTTACTTCAATCTTAAAACATTTTATTTCTTTTTAGAAAATAACTTCCAAAAAAAATTGAACCAGACCATGGATTATCAAGAGAATCTTGGCCTTCTAAAGGAGAAAACACATTAGGTGGTCGCAGTCCCGTCGCATCGCGGTCCGTTCTGGGCTGAGCTGATCGCGGTCTTTTACAAAATCAGTCGCATTTGGCAATTGCATACAATCCTGCAATCCTGGTTTTAGAAGTTAAGGAAATTAGTTCCATGGAAGAGGAAGCTCGTCTCGATCGCATCTCGGTCTCCCGAGATTCTTTGAAAAAGATCGGAGGAGAACGCGATGCGAGCGAGACGAGCTCGCGGATGTCTAGTGCGAATGCATACATTATAAAACATGGGAAGGAACTCCACTGTGCGCGATCGAGACTAGTACGGTCCGCGATGCGACGGGAACGCGACTGCCTAATGCGTTTTCTCCTTAAATGTGCTATTACGATGATCCAGCAGCTAACGCAATAATTTTTTTAAAAAATTACTTTGGGGATTTTTTTATTAAAAATGTGGCAAAGTGGTATTCTTCAGCATCAGTTAAAACCTCTAACTGCTGCCCAAATTACATCAATTTTTACCAAATAATAATTTTGTTATAGTCTTAAGTTTTATTGAATTTCCACTAAAAAATGTAGAAGGCACTGGAAATATCTGAGAACTATCCTATATCCACAGATTTCGAAAATGGGTATTTGTTTAACCATTCCCTTATTACATAATTATCATTTAACTGGAAATGAAAATTCATACTGTTCTCTACAAGATTAAAATTATCTAGAACTTCTAAAAAATTATGGTCCAGAAATTCTAAGTCTGTGTACTGACTTTTTATTTATTTTATTTTATTTTATTTTACAGTTTGCAACTGATAATCCATTCCAGATTTTCTTCTGACCAGTATCGTAAAATTTTAGTCATAGAAGTTGTTTCATTGTTATAGACTGTTATAGACGGTATGTATTTTAAAAATATACCATTGTGATACTCCCCCCGTGCTCACATACAGAACTCCAACAGAAACTTTCTCTTATATGGCTTTCATTTGTTTATTTTTAAACATTTTGTTATGGTTTCTTTAGGTATATTTAGTTCTAAACTGGCTATTCTTCAATTTCTTTGAGAATTATGATGAAATAGCAACTTTTACAAGTAACGGAGTAGTATCGTTTCAAAATTTATGTCACTGGTCGGAAGAAAATCCGAAATGGATTGTCAACAAAAACCAATAAGTATTCTCAAAAAGTGGATGATTGATGCAGAATTTTAAATTAAAAAATTATTGGACCTTTCCTTTTCAATGGAAATTTAAATACATGCAGGTTTTTAGAATTTTTTTCGATATGAATTTTTAGAAATTCTAAGTAATATTCCCCTTGAGAACAGCTTGAATCTTCATTTTCAGTTGGGTAGTTCTGAGCATAATTCTGCACTGGTAAGGGAATGCTTAAATACCCATTTTCGAAATCTGTGGCTGGGACATAACAATCCACTAATAGAATGACTACCTAGGGTCACAGACATGAATCCACTGGACATTCTTGAGGGGTACGGTTAAAAATTTGGTATAGAGCAAGCATGTGCTGAAATCAACGGAGTCAATTTAAAAAAGTGCAGGTAAATATTTTGAGACGGTATGAAAAATGTATCGAATTAAGACTTGTGGACATATCTAATATTTCAGTTGTTTTTGGTCGGTTTATTTTCGAATGTTTCAAACTTTCAATTTTTTTTATGTAATTTGTTGAAATAAATGTTATTATAGCTATTGTTTTTACATTAATACCTTAATTTATCAAATAAGTAAATGAATAATATTTTAGACTAATAATTATATGCCTTCTACATATTTTAACGAAAACACGAATTCAATAAACATAACTTTTGAGGTTCTATAAAAAAATTATTCTTCTGCAAAAATTGATGGCAACACGTGTTTTAAATAATGCTAAAGAACACCACATTGCCATATGTTTAATAAAAAAAATCCCTTGAGTAATTTCCGAAAAAATTGACTGCAAAAAAAATATCATAGTAGTATGTGGATTAGCAGTTGGATCAGCATAATAGGTCCAGCAAGTACATCTAGAAGGCCAATATATATAAAAACCATTAAAGGTCACACTGTATATGGCTAATATACAGTGTGACCACAAATGGAGTTGAAGATATTATTTTCATGTTATGAAAAAACGTAATTCTTGTTAAAAATTCTGCTTAGAATTTTTTTGCAAGAACTACTTTTTTACACAAAATGAAATATTAAGCTTTCCTTCTTTACAACTCCATTTGTGGACACACTGTATATTATTCATAAACTAATGCTATAATTGTTTTTAATATTTTTATTAAGGAAATTATACATATATTTATATTTCACTGCCGAAATATTTGAGTGATAAAGTACCTTGTAATATATGGCTCAATTTTAGACTGAAAATAAAAAATATGTGAGAGCATTTCAGTGTTAGTAGTCAGTAAATGAAGTTAATACGAGTCAATTTTTCTGAAAACACCTATATTCTTTCATAATATCATTGGCAACCAATCGTTTAACAAATGTACACTCAATTCGACACACATTTTTAAAATTTCAAAAGCCTAACAAAATTTTGTCAGAAGCGCAAAATTTATGCAATAATTATCATAAGTTGATACTTCTAGTGATGATAATAAAAACTTATACACTAATGTAGAGTACTTAGGTCCCTATAATTGTCTTTACATCACAAATATCAATTATAAAACAGTAATTTATTATAAGAATACATTAAATTTTTATTAAGTTAATAAGACTAATATTTTTTGTACAAAAATATGTCTGTATAAATTTAGGTCAATATATTTACTAATACTTGTTACAATATGCCATTTTCCCTTAATATATTTTTACAATAAGTTACTGTAGGAGAAAGAAATATACAATTTCATTTACCTTTATAAGTACAGACACAACTTAAAATAACTCTAACTAGGTAGTGTCTTTTGTAAAATAATTCTAAGTTTGTATGTAAGCACCGACAAATAATCATTTAACCTTAATTACTACATGGAATTAAATCTAATATCCCACGGTTAAAAGGAATGAAATCAAAGTAAAATAGTCCAAAATAATTTTTAAATCACACAATAGGGAAATTATAAAAACAGATAAATATCACAAAAACACAAAATGTCTTTTCCTTCTATTTTAACATAATGCAGGGCCTAATTTGAAATTTAAAATATATAAAAAAAATATCTTATGTTTTAAATTAATTTCAACTTGGCTTTTAATTATAATGCATATTTGAATTACAAATTACATTCGTCTAGATTAGTAGGAAACTTATGCGGACTCTGAATCACGTGAAAATTATGCGGGAGCTGTATCTGAAGCTGAGTATGCAAAATTAATGGTTTCAAATTAACTACCTGCATTATATTAAATGCATAATTAGATAAAATACTGAAAGCAACATGGGACATGGGACAAAATAAGTAGGTGCAAGTCTACTTCATTCCTAATTCTCCAACAATCCGTGTCAGTGCTTAAATATAATACATAACATCGTATAACAACTAACAATGGAAGCAAGGGTCCGAGAAGCTGATATGAAAGTAGATATATTTCAAGATTAAATCTGCAAATGATGTCACAACACACATCCAAGGCACAATATGTATTCCAGTACTTTATTGATGGGAAAATGAAGGTCTGCTCTGAAAATGAGCAGAAAAATGGCACTTACTGTAATACACCAATTACAGTTAAGGTATTTTACTTGATTTTATAGTTACATAGAAAAATACATGATTGAATTTTTCACTTTATACTAAAAGCTGACCTTAAAATTATGTATAGCACTGAAATACCTACAAAGAAACTGTAAAATACGAACATCAATCAATTTGTACACGAAATTATAATATGAATTGAAATCATGTTTTTGGACCCTGCCTTTTTGTGGGAATTACCACGTCAATAATTCTAAGAGCATGGAAAGACAGAGTGGATAAGAGATGCCTTAATATTAAGGTAAAATGTAAATATTCTTCTGCAGTCATCACTCAGATATGTCAGGATCCACCCAGTCGACTCTCGCCCATTCGGGAAGCTCAGTTTCAAATTCCCAACCTGGACCCTGTAACCAAAATAACACAGATTTATACGGGGTGGTCAGGATACAATTATATACTACTCCATTTTGTTATCGTTTGGGACAGAATTTTTTAATTTTGGGGTGACCAACCAAATCACAATGTTACAGCAAGCACAAATGCAGAAAAAATCTAAGTTTAAATTCAAAACCAGAAAAAACAAGTAAATAAATTTGCTTGTCAATATTTTAGGTAGGTTGGTAGGTTACACATGACGTGATCTACATTTTTTCTAGAGTTGTGATTATAACCAACATAAATAGACATGTGGAACAGGTGACAGAGTTTGGATTTTCTAATTTTGTAGTGATAGTATACATTTTTCCTAAGTTTGTAAGTTGTACATTTTCACATAAAAAAACAGTTGAATATGATTTTTTTCTATTTAGCGAGACAATGTCATTTGGTTTCAAAATAGCAGCTCAAGGCCATTTATCTGTTCATACGATATTATACGAATTCCTAACCAGCTGTTAGTATGACTAAATTAGTTATAAATCGGATACAAACTCGTGTTTGTTGGTTTGTTATCAACTGCATCGTTGTAATTTGCTTAATACTGTGATTTGTAATATTACTTAAATTTATAACCCATTACGACAGTTTCGCATACGTAATATGTAGAATTAATTTTTTTTTGCATTTAATTGTTAATTACTTTTTGTTTATCATGTGTTATTGGAATATCACAAAATAATATTTAGAAACTTTCATTATAGTATTTACTTTGGCAATTCTACCATGTCTCATTATGTTGCTACATTGGCAGTGCCAACAAAGGCCAATAGTAACAGTTACTCCGCAATCGTAACGAAACCTCAACGTAAATATTTTATTTTATTGACGAATGGTCAGCTGGAAGTACATACACCAGTACATATATCGAAATCATAGAATCGATAGTGCATTTACAGTTGCTAGAAAAACAGTTTTAATGCGAGGATTTCCACAAGCTACGACATCCGAAGGACTATTACGAAATTAACTATTTTGTACTTCTGTTTTCCACGAAACAAACGAAAATCAAAAAATAACGAAACACATGTTACGTTATTAAATGTATTATAGGCTGAATATTAGTGAATTTTTAAACTTTTTAACACAGTTTTTCTACGAACGATGCTGAAAATGCTATATTTGCACGCATTTTAGTTTAGAAATATGTACTTTTCCGCACTGGCGTGGAAAAGTAGTTTTCTTTTGTTTGCGTATTTCGAAGCCAAAAGCATTAAATTTTTCTTTTATAATTTCGTTTTTTATCCAAATTTAGTGAAATTAAAACAATTTTATTTACGGTTTGTCGGTTTTTATGTTTAGATTAGTACAATATGACATAGAAGATAAATATATTTGTATACTTGGGTAGAACTGATCCAGGAAATAGCAGGGTCCTGCAAAAGGGACGAATTATGTTGTATATTGTATATAGATGACGTAGATCATCAAGAGTATCTCATAGTTAAAATTCCAAATAAGAAAACCAATATACAATAAAGTTGATGAAGAAATCCACTATATAGAATTTTTTAGAAAATGCATTGAGCTCCGATTAACTCAAAAAAGGAACAAACAATTATTTTTAAATTATCGACAATCAAAGCATATTCAAGTTATACTGTCCAAAAGTGTTGGCCAATAAAGGTTCGACATAGAATAGCTCAAAAAAGACACAGGGGATTGAATTCTTGCATAGTAGCAGAGAGCTATGAGGAAGGTTATCTGTAAAATAAAATCGAATTTCTGCACAATGGTTCCTTGTCTTCTAGTATTGCAAATTTTACTGAACAGTCGGAATACGCTGAATACTAACGGGTAGGAACTGCTTTACAATTAATAACTGCACCAATTGTACACTAGATTTTAATGTGTTTAAATAATGTTCTTTAAAGCTACAGCTACATATCGCAGCATGCACTGTATGCCGATGATACTAAGATATTTGGAAATGCACTACAAGATCATCAAACTCTACAAGATGATATTAATTCCATCGAGCACTGGTGCTATGACTGGCTCATCCCTCTGAATTTAAATACGTGTACTGTTATATATATTGGTAAAAATAATCCCAAGTCAACATATACTTTCGGTCAAGGTCAACTTATAACAACTGTCGAAAGCCAGAATGATTTGGGTGTAGTAATCAATTCCAGTCTCACTTGGTCTGAACATATTTCCACCGTCGTGAAAAAAGCCAACTNGACACAGGGGATTGAATTCTTGCATAGTAGCAGAGAGCTATGAGGAAGGTTATCTGTAAAATAAAATCGAATTTCTGCACAATGGTTCCTTGTCTTCTAGTATTGCAAATTTTACTGAACAGTCGGAATACGCTGAATACTAACGGGTAGGAACTGCTTTACAATTAATAACTGCACCAATTGTACACTAGATTTTAATGTGTTTAAATAATGTTCTTTAAAGCTACAGCTACATATCGCAGCATGCACTGTATGCCGATGATACTAAGATATTTGGAAATGCACTACAAGATCATCAAACTCTACAAGATGATATTAATTCCATCGAGCACTGGTGCTATGATTGGCTCATCCCTCTGAATTTAAATACGTGTACTGTTATATATATTGGTAAAAATAATCCCAAGTCAACATATACTTTCGGTCAAGGTCAACTTATAACAACTGTCGAAAGCCAGAATGATTTGGGTGTAGTAATCAATTCCAGTCTCACTTGGTCTGAACATATTTCCACCGTCGTGAAAAAAAGCCAATTCCGTGTCTTATCTTTTAAATAAATGTTTCCAGAGCTCAAACGATCAGGTCTTCTTAAAATTATATAAATCATATATTCGTCCGCATCTGGAATACTGCGTGAAAATATGGTCCCCTTATCTGGTAAAAGATATTAATCTGATAGAGAGCGTGCAGAGAAGATTCACAAAATGGATCCCCAAATTTAGATCTCTTCCATATCATCACCGTTTGGATAATTTGAAAATTACTTGTACTAATGTGAGACGTCTTCGTGGTGATCTTATCCAAATGTACAAGATTCTAAATAATCATTACAGTTTAACTTTTGAAGACTTATTCATCAGTTTAAATTATCGAGAGAAAACTTCAAAACGTCTTTGCGTCAAAATTTCTTCCCAAATAGAGTGTTCTACCATTGGAATAGCCTACCTTCATCTGTTGTTACTGCCCCATCGATCAACTCTTTCAAGAACAGGTTGGATGTATGGATGTCATCAGAATTTTTATAGTGAGAGCGCGCCTAGTGTATCTTCGTGTGCGGTTTATGGCCCGTTCCGCTAGTTAGTTGTGATTTGCATTGTATTCTGTTGAAATACTTATTTGTTCTTTTTCTTTTATGTTACCTATTTATTTTACTGTTACTTTAAAAGCTGTTAACTGTCATTTTGTACATTTTATTGGACTAAATAGGCTTTGCCTCTGTCCTTGCTATTATGTAATAATAATAATAATAATAATAATAATAATAATAATAAAAATAAATAAATAAATAGAAATTTTCTTATTTTTATACATATTTTTAGGAAATAACATTACTTACAGATGTGTTAACCCTAGCAACCAGCGAACAGCCTGCCACATTAACAAAAGATATTGTAAGTTGATACAAAAGATCGATAGTGCAAAAAATATTTTACTGAAACCCTTTGAATAAAATTATGAAAAGGGATAGAAAACGATCCTATTTTCCTAGTCATTTAACTTACTTTATTATTATTTTTGATTCAGATAACGTTGAATATAAGAAATCAGAAGTGAAATTTCAAATTATTTAGATTAGTTAAATCAAATCATTAATAATCGCATCGCGTTTGAATCGGAAATAAAGCGAAATGCAAAAATTTTTCTCGACTACCTAGTACTAAACAGCTTACCATTAAGAAAATTGAAAGAAGGCATTTTATAGTTAAACGTGAAATGTAAAATTAATGAGTAGTCTTTCCAGTGAATTCCCCTGAGTAAAAGTGATCGCAAATTGCTTTAGATGAAGCTGCACGCCGATTGCTTTATACACCGTTGATCCTCAAGGGAAGAAAACTGAATAACCGGATTCCACAATGACGGTCGATTAATCATATGCAACTGATGAGGGAAACGAATTTAACGTCTGCTCTCAAAAACAGAACTTCTGTTTCGTGGAATCAGGCAGTGTAAATAAAACTCATCCTAACAAATCCGCAGTAATGCCGACAATGACCTCTTTAACCCTCGTCTGCATAATAAAGGATATACTGGGGCATGTTTTCCGGAAGTGCTGACGGTATGTGTAGTAGCTATTTCCATCTGTGAGCACAATAAAGGTGAGCTGAATTTATTTTAAATTAACATGTCTATTTGCCAAAACAGGTAGGTGGATTAGAAGGGAAACACGGAAAAGGATAAACGGCTAAATCATAATTGGAAAAGAAATACGTCAAAGCTTGTGCGTCGATGTTTTGATAGTAGATATATTGAATTTTCAATGCTGAAAAAGTCATTTATTTTTTATCAGGGTACTTCGATACCTCAAAATGTGTTGAAAAGGGTGTTTATTCCTGTATTATACAATGTGTGGCCAGTCGGTAATAGTGTACGGTACTATATAGGATCATTAATTTTAAACACGTTTTTCCTTATCTTCCCTTACAATTAATGAAATTATGATAAAGTTTTTAAAACCTACTATTTTCCCCATTAAAATTTGTAGATAAACCTAGTATTATTTTTCCACAGCTAACACGATTTTCAACAAATTGCTTCAAACAGAAAATTATCTCACAGGTTGCATCAAACGTACCTTACGAAACAAAATAATTAAATTCCCGTAAAAATTATATGGATACGAAAAAGATACCAATATTTTTTTATTAAATTGACTAAAGTAACCACCTAATAATATATTTCTGTCACTGGTTTTCATTATTACGCTGGTATTAAAAATGTATTTATTTTCAAGAGTACCATACTAGGTCCGAAGACCAACGTTAAATCTGTCTCACCCTGTATAA